CTTTCCCCATGTGTTATTCCTCCACTGGTGCATGCATATCTGTCTATATCCCCAGAGAGCTTGTCAGTGATAGAAATCAAGAACCCCGCCCTCACTTTCCCCAGTGCCTTACAGAGCGGCAAGTATTTAGTGCTTATAGGATGCAATCAGTGTTAACTCATTTTCCTGTAAATAAATTTCAACAAGAAAGAGCCAAGTGTAAAACCTCAATTCATACAATCCTCTTAGTAAAGAAGTTAAACCCACTTAAGCCCAGCTATTGTTTTCCCAGGGATACTGAGTAATTTCCCCAGATCACCCATTGACTATCTGGTTTTAGACACCAATTTTATAATATTTTCAACAAAAAAAAATAAGGAAGCTTGCTGAATAATGTTTCTATGGCATGAGTGGTTTTAAATACTTGAAGTATTCAATTTGGAGCCCATTAATATCCTGGCAGGGAGGGGTAAATACTAAAGGTGTTATCAGTGGGACCCTATGCACAGCTGCACTCAGCTTGCCTAGACCTTAGCCCTCAAGGAGGTAATCTTTAACTTTCATTAATTCAGACCTCACTAATTAGGAATTTGTGATCATTTAGAAGGGCTGGGGTCCAATATGCAAAGCAAATCCAGTGAACAAATAGAGGAAATATTCAAACCATTTTTAAAGGAAACACTTATATACAGTTTATTTGCTATTGCAAATCCAGTTTCTTTTTCCTACTAATTATCACTATCTAGTCCAGTATTTCTCAAACTAACTCTAGCTTGTATTAGAATCACCTGAACCCGACCACTACCTTTTCTGATTCAGGAGTTCTAAGGTAGGCCCAAGAATTTCAATTGCTACAAGTACCCAGGTGGTGTTGATACTGTTGGCTGGGAACCACACATTGAAAACCACGGATCTACTCAACATTTTGCCATAATTTGAATACACTCCACAATGCAAGCTGAATTGTTCAGTTTTATCTGACTGTATAATATTTTAAAGAATATTACCCTGGTAGAAAGGTCGGTGGGTAGCAATTTCAAACTGTAATAGTTATCAGTTATCAGTTAATCATATTTAATACAAAGCACTGTCACTGCAGTTTCCTTGCTGAGCAGAGCAGTGGGCGTTGGTTAAAGGAGTGGGTCAGGGCCACACAGAGGTCTGCCACTTTGACTTGCACTTTGTATCTCAGAAGCCTGAGAATAAGCCCTCCTAACTCCAAGCCCCACCCTCACCAATTTAGGAGTGAGCTTACATCAACACGTTCAATAGAGCAAAATATCAAGGTCATGGGCTTTGGCGTCAGACAAAACTAACTTCAGATCCAAGGTATCTAACCTTGGATCAAATGATTTAACGTCTCTAAAATGCACTTACCTTGTGAAGTGGACACCGTAGTACACTGCCGAGATCCCCCTTCAGTGAAGGACTGCTAGCCTCTGCCGTTGGGAGGGCTACAGCAGACACCTTCCACCTCTCAGCTCTTTGGGAAGGCCTTATTACAGAGGATCACGTGGTCCAAGACCACGCCCCTTCCTGTGCCTACCCACATCGACGACTGGTTGACACTGGGATGTGAAAGCCTGACTACCTTGGCCCAATGGGGTTAACTCTGAAGTTAACTCCCCGCACTTCAGAGTCTCTGTGGGGAGACCATCCTTGGATTGGCATTACAGCTCAACTTCCACCTCTGCCCAAACCTGCGTCTCTCGTCTTCCTTCCACAGGTCTCTTGCCTTTCTTCCACAGGTGTGGATCCTAAAGGCGCCCCTTAATAAACATTAAGCACACCAAACTCCGTGTCAGACTCTGCTTCTCAGGGAATCAAACCTGTGACTTTCATTTAAAAACAAACAAATAAGTGGATGAAAACTCTAAGAGGCAGTAATTTTGTAGATTTGTGGCCAGGCTCTTGATCTAGACGCTCAGAATACAGCAGTGAACAAAGATGACTAAGTTTAAGAAGAGAGATCATGAAAAGCACTAAGAGATTGAAATCAATTTTTAGCTACAGTATTGACTACTTGCTATAAAAGGGAATAATACTTCTTCCCATCCTCACTCCCCCATCTGCCTAGGTTCTTTTTTTTAATTGTCTAAGCTTTTAATATTCATCTTCTGTTCGGAAACCATAAAATACTTGTCAATCTCAGCCGGTCTCCGCCTGTTTGAGCCTAATTCCCCTATTGGTTTCCTTCTTTCCCTCCATACTGCTCTTACACTACACTAGGTTGTACGAAACTGTGAGGCTAAAATCCTAGTCACCTAGACATTTCATGCAGTAATTTCTGCTTCTGTGCTTATAAACCATGGTAAAGTCTAACACCCCAAGGTCATATGCCTGCCCAGATACACCATTCAGCTGTGTATTTACTGGGGTCTTGTGGCTCTCAGCTCTAAGCAGGAGATGGGGCACAGGTTTTGCTGTTTCTCTCAAATCCCACAAATCTATGGTGGTTTTGCTGCCGCCATCCCAAGGCTCACCACAAAAAGTGGGACACAGACACTTCCTCAGAGAAGGAATTTTGACTCCCAATCTATTTCAATTGAAATTTTAAGTAACACTATTTGAATTAATAAAGCACTATCTGATCTTTGATGGTCACATTATTTTTGTGATGTAGGTACGTGTTTAGTGTTAAGTTCCATCATTAGAAGAGATTAAGGATAAATTCAAGGTCATACAACTTACTAGTGGCAAAAGAAATAGGTAACTTATGTGGCTTTTCCCTCCCATTAGCATTGTTGTGATTCAAAATAATTAAGAACATTAGATTTTTAAATTTACATTAACATTTTACCTTTATTTGGTTTAACCCAAAGATTTAGATAAGACAAATAATTTTTAATAATTAATAGTAACATTACTTTGATTTCTTAAGATAGAAATCTGGTACTCTCTAAAAGTAAAATAGCAACAATTCCTAATGTCACAAAGACATATTTTCCTAAAAGAAAGTGGACGAGAATGGAAGTATTATATTTCTCATTAAGAATATAGGGCAGGGCTTCCCTGGTGGCGCAGTGCTTGAGGGTCCGCCTGCCGATGCAGGAGGCGCGGGTTCGTGCCCCGTTTCGGGAGGATCCCACATGCCGCGGAGCGGCTGGGCCCGTGAGCCATGGCCGCTGGGCCTGCGCGTCC